CTACCCTCCTTTTTTTTTTTTTTTTTCAGTTCCATTTATTGTCTGGAAGGAAACAGACAGCTACAGTAGGATCCACACTCACTGCTGAAAAGAAGGCTCAGAAAACCATGTTCCAGAAATCCTGATGTTCATGAGCATGCTAAATCAATGTGGTAAGCTATTCCCCATCAAGCTCTTCTTAATCAAATATTGCAAGGCTAGTTCTCTGGCCTGCGCTGTGCTCGCTCTTGTGCGTCATGCACCCACGCCTGCACTGCCCTATATCTCCTTCCACCACCCTGCAAAGGTGCAAGCGGAGCACCTCCTATTCACGCCACGCATTTAGAGCTGGAATATCCCGAATTGCATAGTTTAGGCCCCCATGTTGACTGAAGGAACAAAAACAAGCGTTTTGTCCATTATCAGAAAAATGTTGGCTAGATGATAATTTTAAGTCTTCTTATTTCTAAATTCTTGTTAATTTTAGGGTGTTAAAAAAAAGGATTTAAGAAGTTACCTGCCATGGAACATGTTATTTCTTTGGTGATTTGAACAACTGTTATTTGTTGTTGTTTAAATCAGCTGAAACTGTAAATGTTATGAATTTTTCACTTAAAGCTAGTACCTTAAGGAAGCAGTTGCAAATACTGTGGGCATCTGCTGTCGTCCATGGTTACCGAAAAGTGGGTGAATAATAGAAACCTGATGCAAACAAATATAGAAGAGCTCCTTCACAAGAATATTTGTAATGAGTCCAGAAAAAAATTGATTCTGAACGTGGCTACTGGAGGCTGCTGACAGTACATTAGGAAAAGTTGGTTTATTCCAAATAAACTACAACTTGCTTTCCCAACATTATTGTGGAAGAACAAATGTGGTTACTGATAGTCTGCAAGTCTGCCTAGCAATCAAGATGTTGCAGAATGAATGCAAAAAGTCAAATTCCAGTTGACAGGCTAATAGAGATTTTCCTTCCATATGCAGAACTGCTACATAAATAGATATTAAAGCAGCTCCAATTGGTAAACTATTGAGAGCTTTAATTTGGTTCAATATCACAAAATGTTTTATATGATTTGAATGCAGAAATCACATTGGGGAAGCTCAGGAAGCAACACTCTTGTGTAAAGACACGGACCTGTTGGAGCGGCTCCAGAAGAGGGCCACGAAAATGATCAGGGGGATGGAACACCTCTCCTACGAGGACAGGCTGAGAGAGTTGGGGTTGTTCAGCCTAGAGGAGAGAAGGCTTCAGGGAGACCTTATTGCAGGTCTTTTTTATAAGGGGGGTTATAAAAAAGTTGGCAGCAGACTTTTTAGCAGGGCCTGTTGCAACAGGACAAGGGGGAATGGCTTTAAACTGAAGGGGGGTAGATTTAGACTAGATCTAAGGAAGACATTTTTTATGCTGAGGGTGGTGAGACACTGGCCCAGGTTGCCCCAAGAGGTGGTGGATGCCCCATCCCTGGAAACATTCAAGGTCAGGCTGGACTAGGCTCTGAGCAATCTGATCTAGTTGAAGATGTCGCTGCTCACTGCAGGGGCTTTGGACTAGATGACCTTTAAAGGTCTCTTCCAACCCAAACTACTCTATGACTATGTTTTGAAAGCCTTACTAAGGAAACCACAGGATCTAGCGGAGCCCAAAAAATCAGAAATGCAAAAATAAAACTGAAGAGTTACCATTTTCCAGTTTGAGAGCTTGGCAGGCGAGAAGTTAGGATTTGTTAAAATAGAAGTCAGTTTGACAGAGATTTTCTGCATTATCTGAGACTACTCACAAACCTTAAATCACTTGATTATGTGGTACTGTATGACAGTTGGTAGCAGTAATTACAGTAGTGTGCTGGCAATTTTCAACTTGGTCTCTTTTAATCTTTGTCACCTGTGGATCTCACCTCTAGTATCTTTTTTTATATTAAAAAAACAAACAAACCAACAACCTTTCCAGAAGTAGGAAAA